CCCTCTTCTCTGTGGCCTCAGGGCTGTCACACCATTTTGCCCCTGGTCCCCACCCCCGCTGCTCCCTCCTGGGCCTGAGGATGCTCCTAGGAGCGGGAGAACTTCGGGCCAGTGACGATGTAAAAGAGGCCGGGGCCTTGCCCTCGGCCCAGCTCTGCACGCAGTGGCCTGTCGTGGGCCTGTCCCGGGACCCAAGCACCCGGGTGGCATAGAGTGATCCACCGGCGACCTCCCACCGCTGGGGTCTGGACCGCACTGTCTAGTTTGGGAGACCTGCACCTGAGCGGTGCCTGTGCTCCGTCCTTGACGCCGGGGGTCATCTCCAGAGAAACATCTCCCAGCGTTGTCTCTTATGTTTTGTACAGTAATGGTGATAGGAATTTTTAAGCATGGGAGCGCAAAACCCCACATGATTTCTAAGGAGAGTCCAACAAAATTTGTGAGGTATCTTAAATGCAGAGTGCTCGGAGTTTTCTTTGTAGTCATGCTGGCTTTGGAGCAACTTTTAATTAAGAAAGCTTGTGTAAGTAAGATGCATACATGCGTACTCGACACAACAATAATTTGTTTTTGCTCTGCATGTTACAGCACGAGACATATTACACTGTTTGACTCCTACTTTTAAAACGTAGATTTTTTAGTAATCACCACAGTGCTCTTGGTGTTTGGGGGATGGGGTGGGGGAAGTGAAGTCATCACCCTGATCATAGCTTTCTTTGGGAGTGGACCAGATGCCTTGAAGCTCTGCATCCACCAAGACACTTCCAGAGAAGCCATGTCTAGGTGTATCTAGGTCTGAGGGACTAGTCACAGTCACCTTGACATTGTACTGGCCTGAAAAGCACTAGACCCTTAAGACATATGAGGCCGATTGTAAAAGATTTGAGAAGCAAAGGCAAATGCAAGTAAGACACAACCACAACACTTGCATAGAAATGTTAATCTTCCGATTCATAGGGAAGTGTCCACCTTTTGCTCTGCTGGCAATTGCTGGCACAACTGGATGGTCAGCTCAGACCTAAACTCGAGATTCTAAGCTTACAAGGGTTGTACCGTAATTCAGATAGTCTATGTTTGCTTTCTTCATTATAGATAACATCTGAGTTCACCAATTTGGCTCTGGAGCATACAGTACTTCTATCTTTAATTGAAGCGTGGAAATGTGAAGCTACTTCAGTGATTTTATACTGGATGTTGACAAAAAAGGATTGTTGAAGACACACAAGTTGACAAATGACATTCAATTACCAATGGAATACCTTTGAAAAATGCTAACGTGTTTGAATTAAAAGAGATTTCATGTCTATATAAAACAATATTCTGTTACCAAGAAGTTTTTCCTTAATTGTTTCAGATAGTTTGGCATTCTCTACTTTACCTGACCTCTCATCTTTGCTCTCAAAACACAGTATTTGAAGTGATTTTAGACCTGAAATCAGTGGTAGCCATACAGACACATGTTGAACTAGTAGAGATTGTATAATATGAAAGATGAATTAATTTCTCTTCCTAGAGTTTATGTCCTGGAAGGCAGACACATTCAAGAGCCGAGTCGCTGACACACAGTGGTATTGTTCTGTCTTAGGCTTTTTAAACAATTCAAACTCCTAAATTGCTACACCTTCCACTTTTAGTAGGTGCTTTGCTCTGTAATTTGAACCTCAACAGGTTTCTAAAAATGTGGACATTATTATATGATTAGTATACAGAGAACTTTGACTTTGAAAATTCAGCTAGGAACTGGTAAGCAGACGTGGGTTAAAATTAGCAAAGCTTTTATGCATGAGTAGCTTACAGCCCCACAGTAGTGGGATTTTTCTGGATTCTCAGAGGAGATTTGTAAAGAGAAACGGAACAAGATTTAAAAACTGGTTTTGTACTTTGGGTTTTCAGTCTCGTTTTCATAAAGGAGTGGATAATGGTCTTGAAATTGTATAATTAGCCTTTTCCAAAAGGAGGCAAAGACTTCCAAACGTCATTGAAACAGTTTTTCAACTTAATATTTCATTCCAAGTCAAATGCATAGTTTTATTTGGCATGTACATAATACCTGTAAATGCAGCTGATACTTTAATAATCTTAGCTTGATAACATTTTGAGTAGTTCTTCACTTAACTAATAATCTAAATGTTTATATGTGATCATGGAACATTCATTTAACTATGTAAAATCAGAGAAGCACTTTGTTTTAAAGTTAATAAATTGAAAATGGGTCAGAAAATAGAGTGGCTTTCTTTTCCATTACAGTAATCTCTTCATTATATTTTATATTTAAATTACCAACAATTCCACTTATGAGTATAGTATGATCATTACGTTACATTTCTTCATTGAACTTTAATGACTTTTGGGGAAAATACTAGATTAAAAAGAACTGTAACTTCTTTAATAAGTCTAACTTCAGATATGAAATAGTTATTTCCCCCCCCTTCGGTTTTTTTTTTTTTTTTTTGAGACAGAGTTTTTCTGTGTAGCCCTGGTTGTCCTAGAACTCACCCTGTAGACCAGGCTAGCCTCTAACTCACAGAGATCTGAGAAATAGGCATCCTTTAATGTGTTTCATTAGGACAATAAATTCTATTTATGGGCATTGTCCATGATATACACAAGCTTTCTAGTTTAAAATACCCTTTCTACTTAACTTTTCAGACTATGCAGCATCTCATAAGTAGGATTCTTGACAATTTTCAAGTAGAAAATACAGAGCAAAGTACCTAATAAAACTGGAAGGTGTAGCAATTTAGGAGTTTCAATTGTTTGAAGGCTTAATCAAGCAATGGGACCTTTTAGTTTTAAGGGATTTTTATTCTTCAAAATGCAACAGGGAACTGAAAAAAATAAAATTAGGACACTTCATTAGCAATTTAATTATCCACTCAGGATTTTCCTGTACATCTCTACATGGGAAGGGACACTTCTACTGTAAAGGCCCTGTTGGGAAAAATGTAGAAGAACCCTGTGCAACATACTGTTTAGAGTCAAGTGAAAGGATTGTGTGGATACCTTCTCAACTCCAAGACCTGCCCTGGAGTGTGAAGCAGAGGACTTCACATACTTCTTCCTTTCTCGAGCAGGTAGCCCATTTCCCAACTTTCTGGGGATTCCACAGAATACCAAGACTCCTTCAGATGAGATTTTTAAAGTGACTGTAGAAGATTCCAAATGTGAAAGCCAGAGAGATGTGTGTGTTTCTTCCTGGTGAGGTAGAGACATCAAGGATTTCCGGTCTGCCACTATTAGGCAGCAGCTGTGGCTAGCTGCTCACTTAACACCTGGTGAAATGGTAGTTTCAGAGAGAGAAATATTTAAAGTTGACACCTGTCACTGAAACATTTGGTACAGAATTTTCAAAGAGTATCTAGAAATAATGGTGAACTACAGTGCTTAAATTGGGTAAAAAGAAACCTTGAGGAGCTCAATTTGTTTCCAGGTAAAGGCTCTTCTTTTGGAAATTTCACTCAGCAACACAATGACACCAGATTTAAAACAAATTATTTTTAAAAACCATATTGAAATAAGAAGACAGCAAGCTTGCTAGTTAGGCAAACCTCCAAGATAGGATACTTATCATTTTTTTTCTTTTCTGCTTTCCCATGGACTCCCTAGGTGTCTTTAATTGCTGTTAATATATTGTAATTTAGTGTGTGAGCATGGTTGTTGTGACTCTCCAGGAATTCAGAGATCAGAAATGTCAGGTAGGTTAAGGGGAACACAGAGTAACTTGAGGTCGTGCAGCCAGTGTTGAATTGATCCAATGACTCTCGGAACTGACATCGGGTCCCCGTGCGCCCTTCCCGCAGCGCCCGACCGGCTGCAGTCGGGGGTGGGGGTGGGGAGGACCATGCCCGCTCCGGGTCAGCAGGGAAGTGACACCAGACAGAACGTGGCGTGAGTCCCCGGGTACGAGGTCCTTCCTCTGCGGCTCCTTCAATCATGGCTGTGACGTCACGCCCGGGACTTACCGTTGCCACGAGACGGCTGCGTTCCGTTTCCGGTCGGTTGCCCCGGAGCGTGAATACACAGAGCAGTCCCGCAGGGAGCCGAGGGGTCGTGGAGAGCGAACCCCATACGCGGAGCCATGAGCCAGCGGCAGGTGCTGCAAGGTAGGGAGCCGTGGACGGGTGCCTCGACGGGATGGCTCTGGGGGCCGGCTGCTCCACCTTGCCTCTGTCTCCGCAGTGTTCGAGCTGTACCAGAATGCCCGGACCCGATTCGTGCAGATGGTGGCGGAGCAAGCGACCAGACCTCAGAACATCGAGACACTGCAGAATGCAGGTGAGCCTGCACCACGAGCGGCGCCCTGGCCCCATACCTCATCACACATCCATCCGCATCCTCCCACCACCCAGCGCTGGCCGCACCCGGTCCCTGTCCCCCTTCACGCCCCATCTGTCAGACTCGCTTCCTTGTTCCCTGACCAGCTCAACTTTTGGGAGCTCCGGGAATGGGCTTAAGTGCCTCCAAGTTCTTCCGGACCCTCTCCTCTCTGAGGGAACTTAACGGGTGAAGCGGAGAGGATGGAGGAGGCCTGGTATCATTTCCATCTTCGTTGTAATCGGCCAGCCACAGGAACTGCCTGGAAGTCATTTTCCTGGATGGGAATGTATCCTAACCAGACCCATTTATTTATCCCGATGCCCTTTCTTGTCACTCTTTGATCACATTCCCTTCTTAGAAGAGGAGAAATTTCGGGCTGCTTTAGCAGTTCTCCTCTTGACATTAATGGAAGAGGAGTAGTACGCTTGAATCTTTTCCAAGAGATTCGAAATAGGTAAGGATCTGGCTTTGTGAGTTTCACGAGGCATCCCCTTCCCACCCCTTAGTCTGAAAGGGAGGAGGGGAGAGAGGAGAGTTCATTTTGGTGAAATCAATCCTTATTCTATCTGTGTGTGTGTGTGTGTGTGTGTGTGTGTGTGTGTGTGTGTGTGTGTGTGTGTTTCTGAAGAGACATTTATTCGTCCCTAGTGGGGCACCACCGACAGATCATAGAAAGAATCCCATCCAAGACTCAACTTGGAGAACCAATGAGTTTACTAAGCATTATTAAGTGAACCAATTTATCAGTGGCTTACACCACTGAAAATACCTTTCTCTCTCAGCAGCCTTAACTACTTAGACATCCTGGAGGGGGTCTGGACTTGATAAGCATTTATCTTTACCCACACCATGACTTTGTGTGTGTGTGTGTGTGTGTGTGTGTGTGTGTGAGAGAGAGAGAGAGAGAGAGAGAGAGAGAGAGAGAGAGATTGGGAGAGTCCCTGCTGGTAACCACAGCTGCTGAGAGTTCAAGAGGGCACCAGCCTAGATCAGAGGACAGCTTTCCACAGGAGCCATGGACTGAGCTGTAAGCTAGATAACACTTACTAGGTCCTAAGAATCCGTAGCTTATAGGATGAGATCTTTAAGACAAGTTCAAATGAACACATCATTAAAAATAAATCAAGAACACACCGTCATGGCCACAGTATTTAGACAGTGTTTACTTTGGGTTTCTTTGAGGAAACAGCCTTTTATTTATCAGATACTTTTTTCCCTCATTGAATTTTGCAGTCTGTGGTTGTGGTAGGGAGCCATTTATAATGAAGAAAGTATTTTTTTGAAATCTTTAAATATCTGTGATATAATTGTAGATGTATGTGTAGTTGCAGGGAATAAAGAGTCCTTTTATTTAGCTTCCTCCTGTGACATCTTTCAAAACTTTAGTACATGATTACAATGAGCATGTGGCTAATTTGAATCTTTCCAGTTTTGCTTGTCTTGTTTCCCTCTATAAACTTTTGTCTCGAGAACCTCTGTCATAGGCAAGACACTTTGATTATTACACAGATCTTTTGTATTTTCCTCTTAAATTCTAGAGGAATTAGTGTGTATGCACATGCCATGGAGCATTGGTGGAGGTCAGCTCTCTCTGTCCATTTCATGGGTACTGGATATTGAACCCAGACAGTCAGGCTTGTCATCAAGAACCTTCACCCACTGAACCATCATGCCAGCCCTTGTATTGTGCTTTTACAATCATGATGGCTCCCTGATGTCCCTAACCCCTGAGCAACCACAGAACTCATAGCATCTATTTCAAAAATGTTGTCATTGCAGAACTCATTTTGTTCTGTAATTGTTTCATGTAGCTTTATTTTCTTTATTCTGTGTATAAGCATTACATTTATTAAGGCATTTTTATAAACAGTTACTTTTAAATTTATTTTTTCTCAGTTCTATTCAATGTGCTCTGTGAATGGATGCTTGGTATTTACAAGGATTTACTGCTTGTAAAATACATATACAGGCAGATGAATACTTTTAAATTAGAAAATTTAATTCTGAAATATTGAAATGTATACAACACTGAAGATATGGAGTACCTTTTGGGATTTTAATGACAGGTTCCTTCTTCCCATAAGAGTTCAAGGTAGAATGCATTGTTTATTTTGTTTTTCTTTTTCTTTTTCAAGACAAGGTTTCAGCTTTGGTATGCAGGTTGGCCTTGAACTCCCTGTCTCTTGATCCTCTTGTTTCCTTTTACCAAGTAGCTGGGGTTATGGACAGGAGACAATGCTCCAAATGTATGAAGAATTTAATATAAATTAAAACTAGCTGACTAAGTGATCACCAAACTCCAAGAGGCATGTGGCTCAGACCTGACATTCTACACTTATGTTTTGCTTGTGAAGAAATTAATACAAAAGGAATATAGTAGTCTTTCAAAATAATCTGCTTTTAATTATCATTTTAGTGGCATGTTAAGATTTTTTTCTTTTCTGGGGAAACATTTTAAACATACTTAAGTTTATCTAGATCTGATAATTCTTGTAGCAATTTAAAATAATGAGTGTCCCTGTATGTCCCATATATATGTCCCAATATATGTCCCATATATTCCTTTAGTTAAAAATAACCTACAAGTTTTATTATGAAACCTTTTCTGCCTTACTAGTCAATACGATTAATCATTCTATTGGTATATTCTTGAAAAAAATCATCATCAATATAAACATGCTTTAGGCAAGTTTTCATCAGGCAAAGTGCCTTCCCTTTAATATTGTAAGGTATGGATGCATTTGACAATTGACTTTAACACATGGACTATGTATCAGGCAAGATTTTGTTTTGTTCCCCCATTCCCAACATATTCTTTAATTAGACATGCAGCATGGATCCAGGATAATAGGAAAAACATTTTCCATATAGGTAGAAGAGAAAAGCACAATTCCCTTGCTAAGGATTTTAAATCTTTGTGTGTGAAAGTAACAGTAAAGGTGAAAATTAATGAACTTTGATGTTAACTGTTCAAAGAAGTTCTCTGTTTACATCTTTAGGTATTAGTGGTTATTAAATAATAGTGAAAATTGTCAGCTTTGAGATCTCCTTGGGAACCAATTTGGGAATTTGAATGAAGCCAGCCTTGACAAACCTTAACATAATTTCCTGGAGGTGTGAGGGAGTGGGTCTGATAGTAAATTTAAGCTGGTCTCTCAGGGAGCTTTAGGCTTCTCGGTCATAAAAAAGTCTTATCAAACCAGAAGCCCTTTAAAAGTATACAGAGAAAAGTCTATGATCCCTTAAGTACTGAGAACCAAGATAGTAGTTCAAAGAATTGAACTGATAATTTGCCTGGATCAAGGCAGGCAATTGTTCCACAAAGCATTGTTTCAACCTCTGGGCAGTCAACTGATCTATAATTTACTGACTGTGAGAAGTAGTGGGGAATAAGAGGTGTATTTTGCTATTTGTTGGTTGATTTTTTTAAGTCTATGATGAACACTTTATTCTTTGTTTTTGGCTTACATAATACTTTGTATGAAGTTCTTTTAAAGTGGAACAAAAACTGGGATTTCTGCTGAACAGTTGTGTTGATCCTAGGAGAAACCCATGGCTATATTTTGGAAAGAATGTTGGCCTTGTCTAAGAGCCAATGGGGGATGGTCTGTGAGGATACAAGCTAACATACCCAAAAAGGAATGCTGGCTTTGTTATCTGCCTTGTGCTTCTTGCCATGATGACCATTCAGTATTTATTTTTGAAGATTTTTAAAAATGTTGTGTGTATGAGTGTTTTGCCTGCATTTATGTATTATGTGCACCACATATAGGACTGGTACCCATGGAATTCAAAAGAGGATCCCCTGGAACTGGAGTTCTGATCAGCTGATGGTTGTAAGTAACAAGAGCTCTTAACTGCTGAGCCATCTCTCCATCCCTTCAGTGTTGAATTCCTGGCTTGTTTGAGTTCTTTCAAAAGTCCAGCTGAAAATAAGTGATATTTGTACATGTGTATATCTCTAGAGAGAATGAGCTCTGCCTACTTTTATTTTATTTATTTAATTTAGAAACAATCTTATTTTACATATCAATCTCAAC